TTCTATTTCTGTAAATGTTTACAACATTTCAAGAGAGACTGAACAAGTAATTTTAAGAGTAATTGTAAGGAATGTTTAATAGCAAAACCTCCCAGTCTCAGAAAATTCTCCCAGCTTAAAATGGCTAGAGGTTGGGTGAGTATGAAGCTGCAGCATCACATTAAATAGCAATTTTTTTCTCTCTTGGGTATGTGCTTAGAGTGATTGCTACAGAGAGAATACTGTGCTGGGTGAAGCACTGGCCTGTTTGATTATTTTTAATATTTAGAAGTCTCCCAAATAAGAGTTAATAAGTAAACTGCAGTAGATGATCTTTTTGTTGTCATACCAGCTACAAACCCTCAAATAAACTCTTGAGGCATGACAAAAGGATGGCAGCAGATACCGTGTTTGGGGTGCAGGAGTAAAAGAATGGTTTTCTGAATTTATTCCTGCGTTCACTTTTACAGAGTAGAACACTGACCTGCTGTGGGCAGTGTCAGCATCACCACTGTTCACTGAGACCACCTATGTGTTTTTATGCCTGTACTCTTGCACTTGGCATGTAGCTTGTTTAAAGGATTTACAATGCACTTGAGAAAAGGTTTAATAAGATAGCATTAGAATTTTCTTCAGATGATCTGAGAATAGAAATCTTTAAGATTTAAAGCAAAACCTGAAAAACATACGTAATGTATTTGAGACCTCTGAAGGCATAAGAGACACATCCTGGTTCAGCTGAATTATCTGTATGGAATAAGTTTAACAAGAAAGAGAAATCTAGATATTAAAGGCTTAGGTATTAAAGCCTGAATATTAGAAGTGAAATTCCTTGTCTGAGAGTATCACTTGACAGTTTACCATGCCTGGAGCAGCTGACATTGACCTCTACCCTTGCTTATTTCCCTCTCCCTCTGTAAAGGGAGAAGAGCTTGTTTATATTTGTTTCTAGAGTGGTATTCACTCTAGAATACCACTGTTCTCAGAAGTCAGAACTGTTGATCAGTCTGCTATTGACTGTCCTGTCAGAGAGATTACCCCAATCTCTTATGGGTAAATTATTACAACCTACAAGTCGTGCAAGCTTCAAATTTACAGCAGCAAGTGTGTACCTCCCTAAAGACAGAGTAAGGGAAAAAGGACTTCTGGTGCAGGAATGCACCCCATTTACAGCATGTCTGTGATGCTCACACTCAGGAGCCAAGCAGCAGAACAGCATCTTCCTGATTCCTCTCTCTTCTCTTGTGATAACACCGCTCTGCCTAGTCTGGGTACCCCTACAGCCTCATTAGAACCAAAAGAGTTGGAATCTACAGCTTGGCAGGATCAGGCCAGTCTCACCACACTGACACTTCTTCAACAAGCCTCCACATCTGTGCCATTAAAACTGAAGCTCTTGCTTGTCTTAGATCTAAGGATTTACACCTAAAGGATTTACAGTGTCTGGATATTCTACTGAGGTATATGAATATAGCCAATAGCTTCTCTAAATCAGACTAAATAAACAGATAATTTCTGCTGACACAAATTTGAAATCAAAGGTCAGGGTATCTTATCATCCTTTTCTGATAAAAACGTCAAATTTGCCATTGGTGTGCCCTGACGTTGCAAACTAATTCTATGGGTGCATTTCTGTACTTATGTAAGTGAGGACATTAAAGTAAATAAAAAATTTGATAGTACTTCAAAGAAAGGTATTTACCTGAATAATGACTTCTTGTTGAATATGGCTCAAGTGAAACCCTACTATTCCCACACCACTATGCAAACCTACAGCTCAAATTTAAAGAAAAACTTAAGCTAGGATGTTCCAAGCTTACCATATAGCAGTACATCATATTTTTGGACAATACTTACAGTTCACTACTAGTAATTGAAAATAAGCACTGTGTGGATTCATATTACATGTTTCACATACACTGGTCCACACAGAAATTCCTATGTACTGAATGCATGACTACACGCATCTACATCTTAAAGGTCCTAAATAGCAATGATTCAAAACACAGAATTTATATATTTTTTTCACAGAATTTATATATTTTTCACACAGAATTTATATCTATTATTATATTCTATTTTTCTCTCTATTTTTCTATTTCTACTTTTTTTTTTCAAATTTTGTATGTCCTTATGGCATAGTGGATAATTCCATAAGCAGCAGGGAAAGGTCAGTTTACTGCAGACTGATGTTACAGCTATTGTACCCTCTGTTAGGATCATACAAGACATCAGATAAATGGCCTTTTGCTTAAAAAATTGCACATCATTTTTTCAAACACTAAATCAAATGGTAGAAAAAATGATCATTGAGTAATGATTGATTATGATTATCTCTTGCATAACAGCCTGCATGTTCCAATCCCACTACCTTCATCACAACCACAGAGTTATGCAAGGATGAAGTGCTGGTGTGGGCACAAAACAGAAGATAAAAAAGAGCCATCAGCTGTCATGATTACACTCTAGTTCCTGCATATACAAACATTCATGGACTTTACTCACCCTGATACTCATTGCTGACAGATATTCTTCCTCCTCAGTTATTGGTTCCTATATTTAAAAAATGCACACAACTTATTTTAATGCATTTGATGAAAACTAACCTTATGTTAAAAAAACAATCACTTGACACTAAAAAATGAGTTTCTCCTTAAGAAAGGATAATCCCCTAAATAATCTAGATCTAATATCAACATCCCTTCAATTCCACAGCTTCAGTTACTCAAACTTACTTGATTACACATATCTCCAGAAGTTTATAATAAAATGAGTAGAAAATGTGGGGATTACAGAGCACAGAACACTGCACCAATATTACTGCAGTTTTGGCAGTTATTTTTCCAGTACTATTGGGAAGTGTTATTATGACTAAATGTAGTAAAATTCCTGCCTTCAGCAGTAAAAAGAAAAAAAAAATCTAACACCTAAGGCCATGCTCCACAAAGAGGAGTTTGTGCATGGATTACTGAGCAGGATTGTGGCAGAGCAAAACTCTCGAGACAGCAAGAACAGAAGAAAGGGGGTATTTAAAACAACAGTTCAGTCTTTTCTTCATCCTTTCAAAAGAAGGAAATACATTCCTTTTATTGACTGAAACGCTGTGTGGTTAGATTTGCTTCACTTAAATGTTCCCACAGATCTGAATGTGGGGTGTACGTCTGCACTAACCACCAAATCACCAGAAGTTTCAGTCATCCAGGATCCTGTGAAGTAAAAGGTCAGCAGATACACAGAACCGAAAGAGATCTGTGAACTTTCCCCTTGGTAAGAAAATGCTAGAGTAATGGAATATTGCAAATAGCTGTGGTTTGGCAAAATCTAAGAGTATGCTGTGCTACACACAAGACAGTAAGGGAAGTATCCAGTGGAGAGCATGATTTGAAAAATAAGAAGCCAAAACAAGTACTTAGCCAGTGTATCTTGTATCTTTGTCCACTGAAAAAAAAATCTATTTTACTGACGAAATAATCTGCAGTGAAATCAAGCTTACCTACTAACTGAATGTCTTCTGTACTGCACTAGGTCAGATTTTGACATCTTCCTAGCTTTATGTTGAGTTGTAGGAATGTAAGCATGTAGGAAAAAAAAAAGCTACAAGGGCCTGTGTCCAGATCTCTGGACCAAGCTCCCTGGCAAACATAGAATACACTTAAAGATTACCCCATAGCCTCTCTACCTAAATGTCCAGACTAATGTGGGCTGAATTTTTGCAACCTCTTAGGAAGAAATGAGAATTAGATCTTCCTTGCTTCCTTCTTGTCCTGCTGGTCTTGGCTTACTGGACTTCTTAGAAGGCACCTGGATGTTTTGATAAGTGGTGTCTGATTTTTAAAAGCAAACCTCACTTGCTCTCAAATTAATTTTATCATTCGTTCAGCCTGAAGTTTGTGTTGCTATCTAAACATCATCACTGCACTCTGTTCAATGGGGGGTTGTTTTATAACAGTAATGTGAATTATTTAACACAGTATTTGCTGAGTTACTGTGAGGCAGGTAGCCTCACTCTCCATTTTTAGGGAAAAAACAGGCTCTTCGCCACTGCCATATACCCCTAGTATCACGTTTTAAAAACATACTTTTATATACACACTCTAAATTAATGTTTTATCATATACTATCTCATGCAGTTACCTTAGTACTATAGTTTCAAAGTGTAAAAGTACCAGATTAAGTAAGTACTCTGAAACTCGCCCTGCAATTTCAGTACCTTTTCCAAACAAGTGAAGCAGTAGAAATAAGTAATAAGGAAAACAGAAAAATAAAGCAGCAAGACAACTGCCTTTACTGTGATTTTCTTTGTGTGAAATTGGCCGGGTTTTACCGCAGGGGCCGTGCGACTGGGTCGGGGTTATTTTGGGCTAATAACGCCGCCAGTGCACAATGCCGGTTTCCTTTCGGCGAGAGGACAGGAAATCAATTACGCGCAGTGTGCAGGCGCTGCCCCGGAGACTCCGCGCTGCCCGGCTCCCTCCCGCGGCCGCCCGGCCGATTTCCGACCCGGGGCTGCCCGAGGCCACCGGCCCGGCTGCGCCGCCCTCTGCCACGGCACTCCGGGCCGGCGTTACAGCCCCCGCGTCCCGGGGAGGCTCGGGAGTGCCGGGGCTGACGCGCTGCCCATCCTGCCGGGGCTGCCACGGGACCCGGGCTCTCCCCGGCGCTGCCGCCCCCCGTCCCGCTCCCCCCGCGCCGCTGGCGAGGCCGTGGCCGGAGGCGGAGCCTGCTCCGCGGGGCAGGCGGAAGGAAAGGGCCGGCCGCAGCCTGGGGCGAGCCGGCGCGCTGCAGGGCCGAGCTCCGCGGACCAGCCGAGCGTCGGGGAATCAACGGTGCGGCCGGAGCCGAGCGCCGGGGGACCCGCAGTGAACCCGGAGCCGAGCGCCGAGGGACCGGTGCTGTTGCCGCCGCCGCTGAGGCCGCGCCCCCAGCGATAGCGGTTGTGGCCGGGGCGGCGGCGCTGAGCGGCCGGGCCGCTGCCGGTGCCGGTGCCGCCCCGCGCGGCGCAGCCAATGGTGGTCGGCGGGGCGGGCTGCGCCGCGCGGGGCTGCGTTGTGCAACGCGCCGCGCTTTGAAGGCACCATCACCCCTGGGAAGCAGCGCTCACTCGGCATCTGTCACGGCGGCGGGCCGGGCCCAGCGCCCCGATGAAGACCCGGCGGGACCGGCCTTCCCAGCGAGCATGAGCCAGCCGCGCTAGGAGCGGCACGTAGCGGTGCCGAGGCGGGCAGGATGGCCCACATGCTGCATGCGGCAGCCCGGCGGGTGCAGTGGAGCAGGGCGGGCGCCGCGAAGAAGGCTGCGTGCCTGCTGGCCGCGGCGTACGGGCTCAAAATCCTGTACCCCATCATCCGCGGGCGTGTGAGGCGGGCGAGCGGCAGAGGCGGCGCGCACGATGAGACGGGCCGGGCGGTCCCGCACCGCGCCGGCAGCCGGGGCAGAGCCGCTCCGGCCGTGGACGCGGAATTCTTCAAGCAGCTGCTGGAACTCCGCAAACTGTTCTTCCCCAAGCTGGTGAGTGCTGAGCTGGGCTTGCTCTGTCTCCACTCGTTTGCTCTGGTATCCAGGACTTTCCTCTCCATCTATGTGGCCGCCCTCGATGGAAAAATTGTGAAGAGCATTGTGGAGAAAAAGCCCAGGAGCTTTATCTTCAAGTTAATCAAGTGGCTGATGATCGCAATCCCAGCAACTTTCGTGAACAGCACCATCCGGTACCTGGAGTGCAAGCTGGCCCTCGCCTTCCGCACCCGCCTGGTGGATCACGCCTACGAGACCTACTTTGCCAACCAAACCTACTACAAAGTGATCAGCATGGACGGGCGGCTGGCCAACCCCGACCAGTCCCTCACCGAGGACATTATGATGTTCTCACAGTCCGTGGCGCATCTCTACTCCAACCTCACCAAGCCCATCCTGGATGTCGTGCTCACTTCCTACACCCTCATCCGTACTGCTCGGTCCCGGGGGGCCAACCCCATCGGGCCCACAGTCCTGGCTGGTCTCGTCGTCTACGCCACGGCCCGAGTGCTCAAAGCCTGCTCGCCCAAGTTCGGCAAACTGGTGGCTGAGGAGGCTCACAAGAAGGGCTACCTGCGCTTCATACATTCACGCATCATCGCCAACGTGGAAGAGATTGCCTTTTACCGAGGGCACAAGGTAAGGAGGAGAGAAATTGGAAGCACTGGGGTAGCTCCTGCAGTGCTGGAGTGGACCCATGCTTCCCCTGATGCCCTTCCTGAGTACTCAAGAAGTACTCAAGTACTTCTTGAGCATTTTGGGTCCTTCTGACATTTAAACTTGTTTACAGCTTGGCACTTCCCATTTCTTAGGAAATACCGTCACACAAGCAGTGTCTAGGGAGAGCAGATCACAGTTCCCTTGAACTCTGACAGCATTCTGGTTTTGCAGATGGATCTTATGCTTATCTAGAAAACTAATCTACACTGCTGTGTTTTCCCCACCCAGTCCATTCTGATTAACTTTTCCAGACTTCTTTTTTCCAGCCATGGGTGAACCACCATATTTAATTCACAGAAATAGCAACCATGGCACACCAGAAAGTCTAGGGAGAAACTCTGAGAGCGCACTACAACCTTTGACACTCTTTCACATAGCCAAGCAAAGATGTAGTCACCAGTCTTAAAATAGCATAAGTACAGTACTTCTGCAATCACAGTTACATAAACTAGTAGCTTGTTTTAAAGCCACCTTATTAAGGGACTCTTCATATTTTTTTAGAAGTAAATTTTGGCTGTAATGCCTTTCAAACACAATTGGGGAAAAAAGTTGTTTCAGGCAAGTGAAAATGAAAGGAAACCAGCCTGCAGTATTACTCTTTCAGTTCAAGCAATGATTATATAACATTAATGGTTTATTTTTGTAGACACAACCGTTCTCAAAAGCTGCCTGTAATAGTGTTTTAAGTGCAGCTAAATTATACATTTTCTCAATCCCCACATATACGGGCTTGAACTGAATACATATTGACTTGCAACTGTCTTTGACTTGTTAAACCTCCTGGGATAATTCTCTCTTTCCCCAGACTGCTTGCAGAAACAAGCAGCATTTCAGGAATCAACTCGGCAACTTTAAGTCACTGAAGATAATTGATTCCCAAATGCTTTCCAACATAATTTTCAGTTGCTGTAAAACTCTACAGCTGCAACTTTATTAAAAGGACATTGAATCAATCTTATTTTGGTTGTTAGAATGAGCTGTTGTGACTGCTATGGTGTTCCTGTATGAATTAGAGATCTTAAATTTAAAAGAGTTGAAAACCTGCCAGTGTTCTGTCGAGGGACAATGGTGTAAATAAGAACCAGGTCCACTGACTTCCATAAAGTTGTGCACTTTTGCTGTGAGACTGCAGCACAGTGAGTGTGAAGTACCACATGGCAGTTGTGATTCAGAAGTGACAACTCTGGGAACTGATTATTTCTTCTACACATGAGAACGTATCTTGTACTACATGTCCATCTTTGTTTCATGGTATAAATTATTTTATTATTTTAACCGTAGGTAGAATTGAAACAACTGCAAAAAAGCTACAAGGATTTGACAGATCAAATGAATCTCATTTTGTCCAAACGTTTATGGTACATCATGATAGAGCAGTTCCTGATGAAGTATGTCTGGAGTAGCTGTGGTATGATCATGGTCGCTGTGCCCATCATCACCGCAACGGGATTTGCAGATGGTGGTAATAACATCTCTTTTAACATCTGATTTCTAAATGTTTCTTTAAAGTTATGTCCTCAAAAGACTGTAGTTCCCTTGAGTGCTGTTCACATTGGTTTATTTTTCACAGACTTTCTTACAACATCTGTGTCTTATGTATAACTTGCAAGCATAGCAAGTCAGCTGAGCAAATGATCCTAATTGGAGTGTGTGATAAATAATATTAAGTCAGGACTTAGAGAATCCTGTTATCACCGAGATTGTAATGATTATTGCAGTCTACCTTTTCATTAGTCACTGTTGGAATGGCAAGCTGATTTTTACAGTATCTCCCTTTGCAAAATGATACTATGAACTTTAATAGAGTGCTTATCTTCTCCTTCCTTAAACCATAGTGTAATTACAGATAATTATAGGTAATTTTTCTCTTATTGTTGACCTGTTGGAAACCGTTCATTTTCCCTGACTCCCGCAGAGAAGAGAAGGTAAAATTCAGATTCCAGGCTAGGATGGTATCATTTTTGACATTCTATCACAATTTTCCTGGAAGTGAAATGAGACTCAAATAGTGTTGTTACTGCAGACACTATTAAAAACAAAAAAAAGAGAAAACAAGAGAGAGCAAAAAGAAATGTATTGGTTTATTTAGTTTAACAGGCTTCCTCATGCACAACTAGAACTTAATATATTTATGAATTTCATAGGATTCCTAGAACGTGAATCCTACAAAGTCTTCAGAAGGATCAGTTCTAAATTGTGTGCTTTGAATTAGGAATGAGTGAATTCTTTTCTGTGCAGTGATTCTGTTTCTTTCATGGAAGTTACATTCCAAATCAGGACTGTCCAAGTGGACAAGCTTGGTGTGAGCTGTGGTGTGGCTTTGTGCAGTGCCCACGTGGTTTAGCTGTCTCACTGAAAAGTTGTGCCAGAGCAGGGCTGGGTGCTCAGCTCCCTGAGCTGCTGCCCATCACGTGCCTTAGGAGGGCACTACAGCAGCACCCTGGCTGGCATCCTGGGAACAGCTTCAAAAATATCAGGATGTCTTGTTCCAAACTGAAGAGGCTGTACAAAGGCATTTCACCTCACAGTGAAGGTTATCAGCACAACAGAAAAAGATGGGAGTGAGTACTATCAAGAAAAGGAGCATTTAACCACATGTTGTAAATATCTCCTTGGTATTAGAGCATGAATAAAAAAGGACTTGTACTCATGCTAAACTAAATAACATTCCTGTTACTCATGTTTGTTCCTTTGTTAAATACATTTCAAATGTGGGAGAGAACAAAGATGCAGCAGTGGCTCACATTGTAAAGCAGAATTATTTTTGCTACCAGCATCCTAAACTATTAAAACATGGGGTTTATTATTGAGTCCTGGGGCTTACCATAATGGTGGTTCACAAACATAATACTGGCAGCACTGTCAAGACCAGTGTGAGGTATTGCAGGTATTCAAAGAATCAAGCACACCTGAAATTACCATGACCTGCTTGGGACAACAGTGCTTTTTGCAGATCACACACAAGTTTGTTCACATCTGAAGGAGGTAGATTTTTTGTGTTAGGATAAATAAAAAGAGTCAGGGAAATGTACAAAACTGGTACCATGGTGAGACTTGAAACTACTGGTGTAAAGTCAAAAATTTTGTACACTTCTTCAGGGAAGAGAAAGAAAAAGTAAAACAATAATTCTTCAGTCATAAGAAAAAAGAACAGTGACAGTATCTGTGAACAGTAAGAAGAACAGTATCTTTGACAGTGATATTTCTGACTGCAATTGTAAAATCGTGTTATATTTTTCAGTGAAGAATTTAGGTGGCAAAGACAAGATTTCTCTTTGATAACATTTCTTATTCTTTTTGTATTAAACAATTCACATTCCAAATGTGTCTCAGTTTATGGAGAGTAACTATTTTTTGAAGCAAGACTTTGATTTCTCTAGACACAGTGAACATTTATTTTTGTTTCTAAAATAAGTGTGACAATTAAATAAAGGAAAAGGAAAATGGAATTGTTAGCTTCTGTATGAAACAGAGACAGTCTGTTAAAATGTGACACTTTCAAACACAGGAGGCCAGCCATATGAAAAGTGTTTTGGACAAAAAGTTCAAGAAAAATTATATTGGTAGGTTATATAATAGGAGAGTTTGTCTTTTGGGCCTGTGAAATGCTCATAAATTCTGTATAATTTCAATTTTTTAAATATCCCTATTCTGACTGATGCAGTGGCTTGTAGATGAGCTGGCTAGATCTAGATCTAGATGAGCTCTTGCTAGATGAGCTGGCCTGGGTGCTGGAAGCAGCCATCAGTAAATATTGCATTTACAAGAAGGAGGAATGCTGCATTACTGCAGTTAAACCATACCTGATTCCTAGATGGTTTAATTGTGGTGGTTCTATATAGCATAGGCTGCATGTGCTATAATCCCAACAAGATCAGCAAAAATTGGCTGTGTCAGAAGTAAACAAATTTCAAATCCTCTTTTACTAATGAATTTACTGAATTCTCCCTATTCACTAAATGTATTCTTCTTGGAGTGGAAATAACTTTTTGAAGTGAGAGCCATATTAGTAAGAATTTTGTAATGTCTTCTTTTCAAGAGCTGTTCTATATATTTTTTAAAAGCATGTCTCTCATTGTGTCTAAGCAAGTGGCATACAACAACAGTGTGTTGATGTAGAGCTGAAGTGAGAAAACATCATAATTAAACCCAGGAAAAATAACATAGATGTTCTGTGTGTGTGTATATGGATAAATATACACACACACATATATATATGCAAAGTTATGATGTAGCAATTTTAAAAAGTTTTTCATTAATTATTTCAGTGAAATACAGTGAAATAATTATTTCATTTCAAAACTGAAATACACTTTAATTATTATTATTATTATTATTATATTAGATAATTATTCCAGTGTATTTCACTGTAATAGTAATTAGCTAATAATAAATACTTAATATATAATTCATAATATATTAATATATAATTAAATAATTGTATATTAAATTATTCCAGTGTATTTTACTGTAATGCAGTGTATTTCAGTGATCTAGTTATGTAGGAATCCTTTATGGATGTGTAAATGAAAACAGAATAACATTTAGATTTAACTTAGTAAAAACAGAAAGATACATCTGGTTTTGGTACTGCCTGTAGATTCTCAGACACCAGATTTCTAGAGTTTGATTTTTCAGGGAAGTGAGAGTAAGAAAATGCTGTTTGCTCTACTCTTGCATTGCTTGACTTAGCCCATTAAATTTATGGTTGCATTACACCTGCAAGGAATTCCTCCTAGATTTTCTTGATCATGAGCACTGTGGAAACATGGGTAGCAATTGCTAGTACAGGAGTTGCCACAGTGGATCCACCTGTTACCCCGCCTAGCATGATTCCTAGCATCAGTTTAGTTTAAAAAGCAAACTTAAGAAAACTTTGCAAACTTTGGGAAAAAAAAAATCCAGATTCCATTCTGCAAAAAATTGAAGCAATTTATAGCAATGCATATGTAGTTATGTGATGCAGAAAACCCTTTGGATCTTTCATTGTAAATCTTTTTTGTGGAAATTTTTTAAAAGGGGTTTGCTACACCACTGGTTTACTACACCAGTGATTTGTAGTTGCAATTATAAACGCTGAAACAACATTTAGCCTCAGAATAGTCAGGCACTTCTTTTTAAATCTTGTTTCCTTCAGGAAACAAACCTTGCAACTTGAATCTATAGGGCCCATGGTTGCAAAATGGTGCATGTAAATATGTTAAATATACTTACTTTTCACATATTTTCTATAATCCTGCTGTTTTCTCCTTGCCTAATGCTGCTGACATACTTATGAGACAAGTCCTTTCTTTGGAGCAAGAATATTCTTGTTAACAGGATGCAGTGTCATAAATAAAGCCCCACAACTTTGTTCTGGGGTCAGATGAAGAGAGAAACTTCATTGTGAGGGAGAGTTATCCTGTTGAAACCATGCCTTTGATACCAAGAGAGTTTATTGCTTTCTTACAGAAATATAATAGTGTTGCCAGATTTACACAAATGTGAATGGTTCCTTCTACATGAAGTCAGTAAATAAGTAAGGTTGAAAATTAATAATCACAAAAATGTAAAAAATTATGTTCAAAATTTGTTTCAGATAATTGCTTAGGTTTCACTTTTTTCATATTTTGAAAAATTTATGTTGTAGGATGATATATTAAAAGGACAATGATCCAAGTAGATAAATAGATAAAATAACAGGAGTTTTGCCTAACAAGATGAATTCCGTATGCTCCCACTTACTCTTTTTGACCAAGCTATGCTAGTTACATTCAGTAGTTCTTTTTGAAAGCTTTTCTTCATAGAGTTAATTTTTTCTTAAAAAAAGGAAAAGCCTGCTCTATAATAGCTCACATTGCGATAATAATTTAGTTTGTAGAGATAATTATCAGCAGACTATTTTAACAAAACTTTTTTTTTACATTCAGAATTGGAAGATGGGCAGAAGCAGGCAATGGTTAGTGAAAGAACAGAAGCTTTTACTACATCACGAAACTTGCTGATCTCTGGAGCAGATGCTATTGAAAGGATTATGTCTTCATACAAAGAGGTACTGTACATCCTGCATGCATGAAACAGAAGAGGAGAAAAAGAAAAACAATTTGAATTTAATAGAAAATATTTTTTAAAAGTAGTGCAGTTTTTAAAGGCCAATTCTGTTGCAACTAAATCCATGGAGATATTTGAACTGGTAGTTTAATCTTTAGGGTTAAGCTGACATAGAGTCTAAAGTGCACAGTTGCCTGTATGGTGCAATGTGTAGATGTCATTTTTAATACTTGTGTTCAGGTGTCATCAGAGAGTAATAGATGTTCCTGGAATGTCAGTGATAAAGGTTCAAATTCTCTTCTGTTTGGAGCACAGAATTTGGGCTGTCTGTCTTCAGTGTACTGGGATTCTTCTGTTGGATCTGTCACAAAAGCATATAATAGTTTAATTGTAAGAATCTTTAAAGGTCTTCTAGTCCAACCTCCCCCATGCCTTGAGCAGGAACATCTTTGACTATTATTGGATTGCTCAGAGTCCCATGCAGCCTGACCTTGAATGTTTCCAGAGATGGGGTATCTCCCCCTCACTGTTTCTGTATGAAAAACAAGGAGAATTGAATACTTATTTCTGGGCCACTTAAACTGTAAGGCTGTTTTCAGTATCTTGTGAACCTGTTAAATTGTAAGTAATTTTTCAAAATAGAGAAATTTTAGCAGGAAAAAGTTCACTTTGGGAGTACAAGTATTCTAGAAGTACAGAATGTTAATCCAGAAGATCAGAGATGTTGTTTCAGGTCTTTACCCAAATTCCAGTAGAGCTATGCTTTAATCTGTTGTCTCTCCTGTGGATTTCTTTAAATGCCAGTTGTTAAGCCAAAGAAAAGTGAGTCAGAAATTAATCTCAACATTTCCTTCTTTGTTCTTCATGTTTGTTCTTCATGTTTGAATTGGTGTTTGCTCATCCCTTTGGTGGGAACCCCTTTTCCCAGTGCAGTGTGAGGAGGAATGCATTAGCTGGGCAGCTAATCAAAGACACTGGATTCTGTTATTTGGAATCCAGCCATAACAGCCACAGCTTTGTAAATTGTCAGAGGAGGGGTGGTTTGGCACCTTCAGATACAGACTTTGACAAAGCCAGTGTCTGTGCTGTTCTCAGAAGTCCTTCTAGTGGGCTGTGATTTTTATCCTATTCTCTTTTAGCTGTTCCCTGCTTGATATCTGGTATCAAGATACTGCTAGATAATCATACACTGATGTTATATGTGTTTTGTTTTCAGCATTTGAGTCATTTATGTAATGTGCATGAGTTTATTTTTTTGGCAAAAAAGTACCCAAAAATAGTAGAGGAAGAACTGAACAAACTCACTTTGTCTATAACGTGGTAAGATACTAATCCAGACAGCATGAGACAAAAGAGCAGTTCTGTGAATTTCCATCTTAATTTTACATTTATGCTTCTCTTCAAAAGACACTGGAGTACTTCAACCACATTGTCATTCCCATTTTGTGATTCAGGCAGTTTCCAAAGCACAGTGTACTTGAACCCATGTCAAATGGTAGTGCATTTCCAGTTTTTGCCCACCTCCTCCACCAAAGCCGCCTCCTTCAAGTCAGTGTAATTCACTGTGCAAATGAGGTGGGCTCAACTTTTCTTTGCAGTCAATAGTTTAGGTGGTGGTATTTAGTGTTTGAACAAATTGAGTTTCTACAGTCATGGTATAGAAGCTTACTACATGTTATGGTTCTCCTGGGGCACAGCTGGTAGGAGTTTCATTTATCAGGTGCAGGATTCTCTCCATCATCCTGGTGAAATGATGGCCATGTGGCCAGAGGTAGCACTCATTTCTGAGTCTGGCACAAATAGTGAAACTTACAGGAGAATTATGGAACTATTTCCAGTTATTTCAAATAATCTTGGAATTACGTACATGATAGTGGGTGAACTCAGTCATGGGGTGTACGTATTTAATCACAGCAGGCCAAGAATTTTATAATCTTGATTTAATTTTCTTTTCCTCTCTGCATTTTGCATAAAAATGTATCCTTTTAAAACCATCTAAAAATACATTTAAAACAAAAGGCTTTGGCTTAATTCTTTACTACCAGCAGATGGAGGCAGTTCTTTGGGAGCTCTTACATATCCCATAAATATGAATTTACAAGGTCCAGAGATCTATTGTGTTTCTGTCTTCACCAGGTGAAAATTGTGACAAAGGACCAAAAAAAACAAAAGAAGAAAAAAAGCCCTTTTATGGGATGTCACCATCTTAAAAATGCCCAGTTCTGTTCTAAGGTCTCAGATTTAGCATGCAGTTGACAGGAGACTCATTTCTGGTTTGTACTGTATTTTAGGTTAGGGTGCCCTGATGCTGTCTCTTTTGCACATAAAAGCACACTTCTCCCACAGGAGATTTCAGGAATACAGGCAAGTAAACATTAGTAATTATAGATGCCAATTTTTTCCCACTTCTGTGGACTTCTATTTTTTCTGGAAAATGAAGAAATTTTGGTTTTTTCTTGTGTACCATCCTCTTTGTTTTCAGATATGTCAGTAGCTGTTCTCTGTTCATTGAAGACTACAGAAATGAGCAGTCCCTACAGCCTCTTCATTTATTGGAGTTATCATAGCTTACATGGGCTTAGCTCAGCTGTCCTGTCTGCTGATGGGTAGGAGCTGCAGGTGGCATATGGGTTAGCACAGCATTTCAGGGAATGGAAATCAATGGGTGATGATCAGCATTGTTGTTCATGCTGATCTTTGGCCAAACATTTCATTTGTAGAATTTGTGAAGCAAACTGAAACGAGGTGTTTGTTGTTTCTCAGGTCACTGAGCTCGCAGGCTACACCGCCCGTGTCTACAACATGTTTGCAGTCTTTGACGAGGTGAAGAGAGGCATCTACAAAAGAACTGCTGTTATTCAAGGGTCTGTAAACAACAGCAGGAGTGAAGATAAGGCAGAGTTACACATTGATGGGCCCTTAGAAATCAAAGGTAATTAATTCATATTTGTATGAGTTTCCCAGGGGTGGTGGGGGAGGCATGGAGCAGTGGGACAGGAGGTGAACAGAGGTTTTTTTCTGTAGCTAATCAGCCTCTCAGCCTTAATGCCCCAGAGATCATGTTGCTTTTCATTTTAACCCCCTGCTTCCTTATAACTCTGTCCTTATGGTGTGCTTTTCTAATACACAAATGGCTCAAATGTTTTCTGTAAAAGCTTTCAATGAAAAGGCATTTCAGCTATACTATTATATGTGATGGTGATGGTAGTATTCTTACACTGACAGTGCCTGTTTTTCTCAGACCATTCATTTTTTTCAGGAAGCTGAGACTAACATTTTCATCTTCAGCCATCACATTATTTTGTGTGAGGTAGGAGGAGAAAAGACAGATTGATTCTGTAGTTTTTCCCAAAAATGCTATGTTTTCCATGATTAAAGATCAGCCTGTGCTCATTTTTTCGTAATTTAGTGGGAATCTTCAACTGAAAATGATAACTTTACCCTTCTCCTCACCTCCCAAATGATCTGATTATATATACTTTTTCTCTCCTGACCCCATCCTCTGTCTTCTGGTGCCACTGTCTTTCTGTCTCCACCCTCCCTGGAGCATTTTCTGTGTACCTCCATTCCTTATTGTGCCACCTCTCTCTGCTTCTTGCATCCAGCCTCTCTCTGAGGTACTCAAAGGCTTTTGCAATGGGTTGTTCCTCATTTTCCCAACATAGCATTTCTGCTGCTGCCCTCTGTGGTGTTGAAAAGCCTTGTTCTCTTCCTTTAGCTTTTGAAAAGTTAAGCCTCAGTAGAGTTATAGGCCCCAAAGGGCTCTTTGTGAAATAACTTCTTGCAGCGATTTCAACAGTGCTGCCCTTCAGCTCATATTTCTCAAAGGTCCTCTGACAAGGTTCATTATAACCAAGTGTGATGCAGCATGGTGGATAGGTATGGAAATAGCTGATGTCTTAATCTTATAGATCTTGGTAGTGCTTGGCTGATGTTTAAATAAATCACATTTTATAACTGTTACGTGTTGTCATGTACATGAGAAAAGGTTTGTAGTTCCTGGAGCAATGATGTAATCTGGGGTCTCTTTTTAGATAACTGTGTTTAAAACCAAAACCAAATACAGGTGAGATATGCAAGTGTGCTCTTCATGTTCCCTTTAGGTCTGCTGTGTCTAAACCCCACTCCTCTTTTCTCTGCAGCCTTTTCCCAAGATTTCATTCCCCTACAGTCACTTCTCATCCAGTCTGAATTCCTCCTAAGCCATGGTGACAAGCATTTGCTCTTGTGTAGTTGTAGCTCTCAGAGGCAGCTAGCCAAGACCAAGCATTGTGCACAAGGATTTAAGAAGAATTTAGGCCAGATGAATCTAGGCCACAGGCTCCACATTTTTTATGACAAGTGCTATTGTAATACTGGTTTTCTTTCTTTCTCTTGGTTGCAATGTTTCAGAAATCCCTGAAGAGTGGATTGTGTGTGGATAAAAGTGCACGTGCTCACATGCCTGTGTGTGCCTGCATTGTTAGAGGAGAAAAATCTTAATATTCTGCTTCCCCAATGGCTCTTTCAACACATAATACTTACTGCCTTTTCAATCATCCAGTATAAGCCTTTGTAACTAAGCAGTGTCTGTTTTGTGCCTTGCATTTACTGTTGTCAGTAAGTGTGAAAATAATAATAATATGTTACAGATAATAATATTGCCTTATAGCGTATTTAATAATTCAGAATTTTAAAAATTAAACAGAACTTTGTACATCTTGTACAAATACTGTCAAATTGTGTTTCTGATTACACATAAATATACTTTAAAAGTATGTTAAAGTTGCAATCAAATGCTGTGAAATTAGGATTAGGAAATGAGAATTAAGTTTATTCTTACTAGCAGACTATATTTTGTCATAGATTTATTTTAATTACAGTGTCTCCACTGTATCAAAGCAATTTCTTTTTACAGAAAAACACTTTTTTCCCCATAAACTCTCATGCTGTTGTAAGTAAAATACTTTTATGAAAAAAGAACACTTGGACTAAACCATGGCATAAAAATTTCTGCCCAGGTTGTTATGGTTTGGCAAAGTTGAAATCAATTGAAGAAAGAGCCTCTAAAGGAAGAACATAAGACTAAACTTAAGTGAAGAAAATGCTAGCAGAGCCTTTTATAATTAACTAACTAACTTGGTCTTTGTTGCATTTTTCTTTGTTCAGATTAGTTTATGTTACAAATCAACAGCTTTCTAATACAACAAGAAATGTCTTTCCTTTGCATCTTGTCTATTAAGGTAATTGCCAATATTTTTCTAGAAATCCAGCTGTTTGGGTTCTGTTGCTAAGACCATTAACAGCTGTCTGAGAAGTTAGTTTCATTCTTTTACTCTTTCCTGGGCAGTTAATATCAAAGTCCTTGTATTACAGAGTATCCAAATGTCCAGTAGAGATGGTATGTTTAGTTTGCCAGAAATCCAAATGCCAAGTGTGTCTACCTGACTGAAATGTTGTATGAGTTTCTGCAAATACTTACAAGACACGTTTACAGTGTCTGTGGCATCAAAAAGAGATGGAAACAAGCCATTGAATGTTTTCTTCTTTGCTCTTGTTGCTGGAGGAGACTGAAAGGTGCTCCAACTTTCAGAGCTGGTAGTGATTCCTAATTAAATCCTCAAAGAAGGTTAACTGGTTTGCCTGTGGCTAAGGCTGTCCTTGAACTTTTTTACTGCTTGATATTAAACAGCTGTTTAAAGCAGAATACAGAAAATACAAGTAGAATTTGAATGAACACTTCTTTATAGTGCATCACATATTTATGATGCCTAATGTGCATTGTGTTTAGGATCAAATTTGGGTTTCATTGCACATTCTTGGCTACTGTTGACAGTGTCTTTTGGACTAGCTAAGATTTATTATCCAGGTTTTCCAATAGGGGAACCTGGAGCACATAAAAGAGCTGTCTCAAACACCAGTCCTTACTTCAAAATATACTCAGTTGTGCACAGAAGCTGTCACAAGTGATTGCTTAATGGAGGGTTTCACAAACTCTAATTTTTGGGTTTTTTTCTTCCTAGGGAAAGTAATTGATGTTGATCAAGGAATTATTTGTGAAAATGTTCCTATAATTACTCCGAACGGCGATGTGGTGGTTTCCAGACTAAACTTCAAAGTAAGATGATATGCAAGAATCTTCTGATTGTTGCCATCACATTAACATAAACAGCACAGAATTCATATACCTTATGTTAAGTACTTGGAGGAGCATATGGATAAAAGGGGAAGTCCAGAAAGGTAGGCATAGTAGCTCAATGGAGGCAGACATGCGGAGTTTTTCCTGCTCAGAGAAAGAACAGGGAGGATTTCTGTTGCTGTTGCCAGGTGAAAAACTGACCTGAGATTTTTCAAAGGTGTATATGAGAGTATGCATCCACCTTTAGTTAAATTCAGTCAAATTGGGGTGCTTTCCTCACAAAGGCTCCTTTAAAAGTCTGAGGCCACAGCAACAGTGAAAAAATGAAACCTGTAGTTTTTCCTGATCACCTCAAAGAGCAGTACTGACTAATAGCTGACAGCATAGTTCATTCACCAGTCCAGTTGGGGAGCATTCACTCAGCAGAAACTTGTATTGCTTTAAAAAACCTGTTCCAGACACCTCTTGGTACCTGCTCACAATTTTAATGAGTGACCTTTACTGAATGTATCCTGATCTGATGTTCCAGTGCAGATGCTGTTCTTTTTAAAAAGAGTTGAAGTTATCAGAAATAAATTTAACAATTCCAGCACATCTTTTAATTTAGCTAAAGCAGGATTTTCCTTTTCCTCTGAATTAGAAACTAGGAGGAAATGGTCCTAGCTATGGCAAAACTTGCAACAATTTCAGTGTAGGAATTTCAGAATTGTAAAATTACAACCTTATGATCAAGCAGACATTTCTATTTATTAGTCTCAAGAGACAGAAACAAAGAAAATACAGAAGTCAGTATATTTCTGTAAAACATAGATAATTACATTGTGATTATGCACACAGATGCACTCATATACACGGGGTAATAGTCAAATGAGTAAAAAATATCACTTGTCATCATAGCCAAGTTAGCAGAGACAATTAAGTGGGAAATGGCAATGTGAAATAAATTTCCCAAATCACTTGACTGACCTCCTATACCTGCAATTAATATCACAGATGGGCACAACACTGTTTGAAACACTGTTAACGCCTTTGGACCCAATCTGCATTAGAAGAATTGATTCTGACTGTGATGTGTTGATGCTATAATGTAATCAAATCACATATTGCATTATGTGTATATTATAATAGGATATATTACTATAAATATTACTGCCATATACTACTGTAAACATTAATTTATAGAGATACTCTGATATAAAGGAGATTATTTTCATTATCTTAACCCATATATTTTATCTAATGCTACTGCTTCCAGAATACATGCAACTAATCAATGAAATTGGTTGATAATTTTATATAAATGCTTATGTAATCCCTCTTAGGGGTCTTGGAATCTCTTGTGCACATACACTGTGCAGTAGTATCTTTGCATTTTCATCCCCTTTGCAGGTCGAGGAGGGGATGAATCTTTTAATCACTGGACCCAATGGCTGTGGAAAGAGTTCTCTCTTCAGAATTTTAAGTGGTTTGTGGCCTGTGTATGAAGGAGTTCTCTACAAGCCCCCTCCACAACACATGTTTTATATACCACAAAGGTATGTGTCTTGCTGAAGGTGGTGCCTCTTACCTGGTTATATGAATTTTGACCCTTCTTCTCATATTTCTAATCTGTGATGTGTACATCCAGGTTAAAAGGTGGTAAGCACAACCTCAGGTGTGTGAAGTGTATTTATAAGAGATCTTTTCTCACTGGTGGTGCAGCATCATTAGTCACTGGAAAGGGCTCACATACACTTGTGTTGGATCCTGTGTTCCTCAGATGGCTGAAGTCCTGGGTAGTTGGGATTGTGGGAACAGACTGGAGTCTGAAAGAAATTTGAAATAGACCTAGTGTAGCTCAAATCTGATTTCTTTTAAAACCAAGGATCAAAACAAGTGAGAGTGGTTTGATTCTTAAGTGTCAAAGTAACCAAAACTTAACTTTGACACTGCAAGACCACAGTGCAATCCAACAGTAACTGCAGATTGCCTTTTTAATAATATGTGCTCTTTTCACTAATGGAAGCTTGGCTGTGTTGCCCTTTCTTTGTACCCTGACATGCTGTTGGACTCTCAGTATATACTCTTATGCAATTGGTTCTAGAATATCTCCTTAGAGACCTCTAACTATGTTGTTTTGCAAAAGCAAAGTCAAACACTGAATCTTTACTTCCTGTAGTTCATTTCTTCCCATGGGCAAAAGAAGTATTTGTGATAACAGTTTGTAGCCTTGTTTTAAAAGTACGAGATATTAAGATGAATGGAATATACTGAACTAATTAGTAGATTTTCCTTGCTGCAGGTGAAGCTAGCAAAGAACACTGCTCTATGATTTTTCCAAATACCTGTATAATTTATTGCTAGGCATTGTCATTTTTCTGATTCGCTCAAGACTTTTATTCAGGAGTTTGGAGCAAAATACTTTATTAAATGTTTTTCAAAACATTATTTCAGAACACCCTTTGTGTAGAACATTCATAAGACTGATTTACTCAGAACAAAAGCTAATCTGAGTTTTTTTCTTGAAGAAAATGTTGAGTTTCAGCCACTTCCTTCCTCTGTGGGATCCCAGCCCCTATTCAGATCAACGTCTGTGGCTGACTTGCTTACAGCCCTTTACTTACATTCCCTTTATCCTGTGAAAGCAAACAGACTCCTGTTGCATTCAGGCAAATTTGCCAAGGTGCTGGTTGTGGGGATTGCATCACATCTGCTGGGATTTCATTCCATAAATGTGGTTCTTTGTTAGCTGCTTCCCCTAACTTTGCAGTGCTGGAAGTGTGTCCAGCAGATGTCTTCTATGAAACATTTCAAAAAGTTTTAATCAGAATTCACCCAATGTCTTTGCAGCCCTCTGTGACCAGAGCTGTAGGACTGGGGATGTGCAGTGTAGGGATTGGCATATGCAGTCCATCCTGGTAGGATCTGCGACAGGAATGGTGTCCTTGCAGCACCCAAGGGACCCTGCCTTAGCTCAGCCCTGTGGCTCTCTGTGAGCTCTGTGCTTCCCTTCTCCAGGGACAGAGCAGGGTAAATGGGCCAACAAGGAGTGACAGAGAGAGCTCTTCTGCAAAAGTGCTACACCTTGACTGTGGCTGAGGATTCTGAAGTGTACTCTGGGGGACAATTCAGCTGTGTCAGAGTGTGTTTTGTACAGTCACAAGTGTGGCCTGTCACTCATAAGTGTCTCGTATTTGGACAGGGACTGAGACTGAATCTTGTAGGGATTTCTGGGTGAATGTGGCTGAAGGGGTTGATAAAGGACAGCAGTTTGTTCGGCTGTCCTTGAGGATCTCAAATTGGTTTTTTGCCCAGTGTATTGTTCTTTGGGCATACAGTCTTCAATGAATTCTTACTATCTGAGATAGTAAGAATTTCTTAAATTGAAGTTTGTACATTTCAGGACAAGATTGCACAGATCTACTGGAGTTTTAGGGCTTTTGTGTGCATTGCCTTACATGGTCCAGGCTTTTCTCTTTTTTTTGCCCTAATCCACCTGTGAGTGTTTTAATAGTTCTTTTATTTGTGGCCTAAATACATCACACATTCACTTGGGTTTTTTTGTCTGTCCCTGGCTGTAGTATACATTTAAAATTTGTGTACTGGTTTGTAAGCTGTCACCAAATTAAAGAGGTTTGTTTTGTAAGGTCCTGCTGGTGCAACCATTTTACTTATTAATCATGTGCAAATTGCTGCTTTATCAGGATTACCTTCTGTTTATCTTTGTTAGGCACAATTCTATGAATTCTAGACTGAAGAACAGAGTGCCCTGCCTACATTTCATCATGTTTGTATTTCATCATAACTTTAGGGAAAACTGTTCCTATCAATCTGGAAAGTGTTCTGGAAAACGTTTCAGACTGACAGGATCTGGGAGGTGGCAGGATAGCATCAGCCTGGCACCAGCCTACCTCACTGTTGTGTTTGCTGAGTAGCTGAAACTGGGGTGCAGCAGAAAGCTCTTGAATGGGTGGATGTCCATCAGAGCAGCAAGTTAGGATGACATCCCTGTGTTTGTGTGTATACCTTACATCTCTGGTCTCAGAGCTTTCCATTAGTGGACACCATTGAAGCATTGGCATTCCTGTGGCTGAGTTTAATTCTGCATCAGCCCATTCTGATTCAAGTGTGTGAAACCTCATCTGCACACATGAATGGTGGAGAATACAGTGACTGCTGAGTAACAAATACTCCACAGTAAATAGTACCTCACTGAAAAGATTATTTTTTCATTTCTGTTTTTTATGTTCCAGCATAGTATTCCAGAAATGTGTGGGAAATCGTGTCTTTTCCAAGTACAAAAGCTAGATACAAAGCTATGATTTATTAAAATATGACTTAGCTCATTGTGTACTCCAAATTTCATCCACACTGCAGACACTATGTAGTTAGCATTATTTAGTGGTTTGTAAGCTTTAAAACAGAGCCTTAAGAATTCCTGTCTTTTTGGGTTTTTAGATTACTTAACATAATTATACTGCTGTTTTATCTTTTGCTGTGAATCATTGTGAGGGTTTTTTTCTCCCCTTATATAGGACTAGGCCTTGCAGAATTGATCTGTAATCAGTCACAGTTCTGGTGGATGCTCATGGGACAAACTGGGGGCAGGGTGAGAAAAGCCCAGGAATTTCAGGCTCTGCCACCATCCCTGACAGGTCTGTCCAAGAGGAGAGTGGGCAGAAGGGAGGGCAGGCAGAAGAGATGGAGGCTTGAAGAGCCTTCAAGCATAATTTGGTGCCCGAAGCAGCTTGTTGTTTCAGGAACTGGTCACACTTCAACAAGTTGTCAGATCTCATAGGAGACTCAGGAACTGGCAGAGTGGGTGTTCTCACCCCTTCTACTTCTCTCTGTCCCTTTTTTGCAAAGTAAAACTCATTTCTGTTAACTACCTTTTTGCATTCATCCTGGCCAAGAATGTAGCATGAATGAAAAAATAAACACATGTCACTCTAGCTGGTAAGAAACCATGGTTCAAATCAGAATTCAGAAACATCATTTTAAATAATAAATAATTAACAAAAGTATGTAATGGGTCGTATGAGTAATGATGCTGAAGAATCACTAGGCTGGAAGAGACCTTTAAGACAGAGTCCAACCCATGCCATAACCTCAACTAAACCATGGCACTGAGTGCCACATTCAGTCATTTTTTAAACACATCCAGGGATGCTGGCTCCACCACCTCCCCAGGCAGTCAATTCCAGTACTTTATCACTCTTTCAATAAAAAACCTTCTCCTAATATCCAGCCTATATTTATTTCCCTTGGAGCATCTTAAGACTGTGTCATCTTGTTCTCTCAGTTGCTGCCTGGAGGGTCCCCACCTGACTGCAGCCACCTTTCAGGAAGTTGTAGAGAGTGACACAAGATGTACCTGAAGCACTTTGGGAATTGGCCTCTCACAACCTATCTGAAAGTAGCCTATTTCTCCAGACTGTGCCCTACTTCTGCTCTGTTGGTCTTATACTTGGGAAGAGACTCTTCACTCCATCTTCATGGAAATAGAGAACTCTAGCATGCAATTCCTCCTGGCATTTACTACAGCCTTTCTTGCTCTCCAGCTAAGTCTCAGCTTTTTCAGTTGTTAGGAAACAGATTCTACATATGTTGGCTCTCATTTCCTTAGTTTGATTTAAATGCCAGCAGAATTGCACAGCTAGATACTTGCAGTTTACATTGACAATAGTAATATTCCTCAATGTCTTTGCACCATAAGTTGCAGTAAAGTTCTAATCACCACTGAGTTATTGATAGAAATTGTTAATAATTTTCTGCCTGCTCTGTCATATTCTCTTATTTGCATGGAGGAATGTCTCCTGCAGTCCCTGTTAGTTCCATAACCTTTGATCATGACTCTCAAGTCTTCCTAGCACAGCACATATCTAAAATGTCCATCAGCATTTTCTCTTTCTTGAGGACTGATTCCCATAGAGCCTGGAGTAATACATTGTACTTCTTTCTCCTCATGCATTGTCACTGTTCTTTCTCTCCAGCTTGCTTTTACTGTAATTGGGTTATTTTTGTGGTAAGTGTGTTTCTCCAGTAGCATGCATGGTTTCTTTGTTATTCTGTGTGCCATTCTAGTAGAAGACCTACCCACTTTCTCAGCAGTCACAGCAATGGTCCAGTTCTGCATTCTCTCTCTCTTGCTGTTGCTCATTCAAGTAGATCTCTAACATTGCTTTCTTTCAACACCAGGGTTATCAAATGCTAAAAGGGTGGCAACAGAAGATAAACTAGTGTCAAATGTTGTTTGTTCTTTGTCATTTAAAATTTATATACCTATGTCTTGCTGCCTTCTTAACAATGCTAGGACGGTCTGGAATAGAACAGTTTAAAGGTTCATCTGGCCCTCCTAAGCTGTTTGGTTTTACATACATTGGCTCTATTTCTGGTATTTTATTTGGGGTTTGTTTACAAGTCTTTTCCTGTCTGGCATTTTTCCTTCTATAGTCTAAAAATATCTTTGGATACAAAACAAAATTACATCAGCCACAGAGATATTTTTCCTCTCCTTACCTCTGTTAAGTAATCCAAATGTCTAATTTGATTTGCC